TCATGCTGTCTCCCTTGTGAAAGAGAAATGGTTTATCAAGTGGACCCTCTACAGTATGATTTATCAGTTGAACCCTGTTCATTCATTCATTCATTTATCGATAACTTATAATCAACAGAACTAGGTATATCCTAGAGATCAAAACAGACATAATCCATACTCTAGTTGGAAATCTATATTCTAGTTGGGAAGAGACATAACTTGAAAAAAAAAAAAGGTGTTAATAAATTCTATGAATCAGGATACCAGGTGTGGCAGTCCCAAAATCTCCTGTCAACTTGAGTGAAGGGTGGAGCCTGTCAATTAGGTCACAGCCAATGGTGCCTCGGTGTGGGCCTTGTTTCTCCTGAGGATTCTGGGAAGTCCTGTTTTCCTCCCTGGAAGCAGGACACTCTCCCTGAGACACTCTTGTTGATAAGACACATGGAGCTATGCTGATGGAGCCAGAGCCCTGGAGCTGGAGGAGCCACGTGGAGACACATGCCAGCGCTGAGATGCTTCCACTGCCACTGGACCCACAAGATATTCCACCCACTGACCTGTGATCTTCCTGCATTCAGCATCATTGCATGTGTTGTGTGGGTCTGAAGAGGAATTTATAGACTGATATCAGACATATGGGCTAATATTGGACTTATAAACTTGGTCTTATCTGAGCTGTGATGTTTTCTTAATATACAATTGCTCTTTTATATAAAGCACTTTCTTATACATATAGGAGTGTCTATGAATTTGTTTCTCTAGTCAACCCAGGATAACACATTAAATTGGGAGTGGGGTACTAGAGAAACAAATCATAAAGATTGAGAGTGGATGTTTGTTTGACCTCTGTCTCAGGGTAGTTTTTCTTCTTTGGCTAGTCAGAGGTCAGATAAAACTACACTGCTTACTTGATTGCTTTCTGAAAAGCATATGGGAAGTATTAAGAAATACTTTTCATGTACCACTCATACATAATGCAATGTATAAAACATAGTGTTAAGTGGTGCAAAGGGAACAGATAGCACTCGCAAGTACTCTGTGATACCTTTTCTGTGAGATATGAAATCATTTCAATGAGTATCAAAGAACAGAATAAACTATCATATATAACGTAATGCCATTTTCTTTCCATCTCCAGAACTGTAGAATCCTATAAGTCTATTATGGCATTAGGTAACTCTAGGTATAAATCGCCAAATCCCAACATGCTTATGAAAACTGGCCTCCCTTTAGTATTAATGGTAAAGTAGGGGTTCTCTAGATTATTGATAGCTCTCAGAAATATGTTCAGCCTTTAACAGCAATTGGAGCTCAGGCTTCAGAAAGAAAGGACACATTGAGGTTGCTTCAGGCCAAGGCTCTAATCTTATTTAGTTTTTATTTCCTCGTTAGACTAATGGCAATGGAATTAAGGAACGTTTCTGAATGTACGGTTATGGGACACAAATAAAGGCAGAAGGGGGCCTACTCTGGAATCCACAAAGGCCCCTCATGTTTCGTTTCAAGGTCACACTGGAAATTAAATGATGAAGGCAGTGGTACCCAGAGGCATATTTTAGGGAAAAAAACACACCAATGACAATTGTTAGATTAATATTAATTTCAAAAATTCTTATCCTGTAAAGGGTAATGGCAGCTCATTAACTCTTTTTCTGGGCTAGTTCATAAAAGACTGAAGCTATGGCTGAGTAAACATAGGAATAATAGGGGTCCACTCCTTTCCTAACAGAACGAGGCAAACACTTCCTTGCACTGTGAAAAAAATACGAGAGCTTGATAAATTTCATTCACCAGAACAGAAAGGGGAGATAACTTAGGCAAATGAGAGCAGAATGAAGAAGCTTTAAAGCTGATCAGCTATGCTAAAAGGGGAAGTAGCCTATTTTCCTATGGTAACAGGTGTGTGGTCAAACCCCATTTTAACTGCAGATAGTAAAATTCAGAGAGCCAGGCGCCTCAGGGGAAGAGGCCAGCAGGGCCTTTGACACAAATGATAAATATTAAATGATGGCTCATCATTGTCCCTCTATAGGATTATGGTACAGAAGTTCTAAGAAGACAGTAAAAATCATTGAAGAGTCACACGCTTTTTACGAGATTTATTTGAAAAAAAATTTTATTCTGAAATTTGATTGTCTTTGCTGAGAAGGTATGAATCAGTTTAAATAAAGGCCAAGACATAGAAATATTATAGATCTCTTTATCATCATTTCCTCACCTGTCGAATAATGATGTGTATAAATGTCACTACACTTTATTGATGACACGGAGAAAAGCATCAAAGATACAGTTACACCAGACAACCGTCAGTCTTCTAGAAGGATTACTACCCAGAATCACAGAACAGAAGATGCAAGTGTTTGGATGCTGAAGTACGGCTTTGGAATGGTAAAGCCGGGGCTAAATTTCAGAGACATCTCTTGGAGACATCAACAAACAATGAAAAAGAGAACGGCCCTTGTGGTGGTCAGATTTCATGTCCACTTCTTCCTGCATGAAAGTGCAGGGGTTGAGTCCAAACTATTAACCTGCCTGATCACGCCTCCTTGTGGGTGTGGCCATTTTATAAGGGAGACACTGAAGAGAGTTGACTTTTCTCTTGCCCTTCCCCCTTCCTGCTTACTTGGATTCTGTTTCTATTTCCAAGGGTGGCTCCATTGGGGTCTTTGTTGCTGGGAGCTATTGACACCCTACTATGTTCCCACCAACCTTGGATCCACTTGACCTTTCACTCATGGGCCAGGGAGGGTTCCCCTTCACACAGCCCTAAAATGTCACAAAGTGAGAAGCATAGAAATGTTACCCATGTCTTCACCTGGTCTTTCTTAACTATATAAACTTAACTCACACGCCAACACCAGGACACACACGCTACTTATATGCCACTGCTGCTGCCACAGCCACCATAGCCACCACCACTATTGCCACTCCTACTGGTCCTATTGCTTGTTACCCAACACTGCCTGACTGTTTGCTGCCTACAAGACTTGAAGGACTGCTAGTGTCTCACAACTCTCTCACGGGAGTGAGTTGCACTGACCCATTTGTATTGTTTTATAATTTAACTGTTCATTTCTTGTATTATATAGCTATCTATCTGTTTATAATTTAACAGTTCATTTCTTGTGTTATATATCTAACTATCTTTATAAATAAATATATAAAATTAAAAAAAAAAAGATAAAATACTCAGGCCACTGTGGTAGTCATATCAGTTCATGTCAACCTGAAGATATACAGAAGTGTAGGGGTGGAGTCTACTACTCCTTGTGGGTGTGGCTCTCTCACAAGAAGGGCCCTGGGAACCACCATTCACCACCACTCCCTTTCTCTGCCTTCACCTCCCTGCTAGTGGGTCACTTTGAGACCTGCTAGAGCCCTGTGACGCCTCCACCGCCATTGGATCCACATGACTTTGCACATACCAGCGTATAAACTTCCTGTCTTCTGAATTATTGCTTGTGACTGAGTCTGAAGACGGTTTTATGGACTAGTATCTGACTGATGGACGTAAGTTGGCCAGGGCTGGGATGTTTTCTTGAAATATACTTGCTTCTTGATAGAAAGCTCTTTCTTACACATAAATGAGTGTCACTAGATTTGTTTCTCTAGTCAACCCAGCCCAACACAGCTGCTTTTCTACCTTTTACAAGAACAGATAATTACAAGTATTATACCTTAAGTCTGGACTACAACTGAACATAAAGAAAACAGAGATTCCCACACTAGACTGATAAACAGGAATGTGATAGAGAAAAGAATGAAATTGTCAAGGATCTCATTTTACTTGGATCTATAAACAACAGCCATTGAAATACAAGTCAAGAAATCATTTGGTATACTGCATTGGGCAGATCTACTGCAAAAGAGCTCTTTAATGTTTTATACAGCAAATATGTCACCTTGCAGACAACTATGCATCTGGCCAATCCATGGCGTTTTTAATCATCTCATATATATGTGGAAGCTGTACAGTGAATAATGATGCATTTGAATTGTAATGTTGAATATATGATGCACTGGAAAATAAATATTAAATGTGTCTTGGAAAAGGTACTGATAAAAATGTTCATTAGAAGCAAGGACAGAAAGACATTGTCTCGTGTACTTTTGACATATTATCAGAAGGGAGAAAGACATTGTGTTAGGTCAGGATGACTACAGAAACATATCCAATGACACTCATATATGTGTAAGGAAGCACTTTATATCAAGGAGTAATTAGATATCAAGAAAACATTCTAGCCCAGTCCAACTCAACTCCCTAAGTCTGATACTAGTCCATAAGTCTGTCTTCACACTCCCTCAGGCACATGCAATGATGCAGAATGCAGGAAGATCACAAGCCAGTGGGCGCAGACTCATATGGATCCAATGGCAGTGGTAACACTGCAGGGCTCTGGCAGCTTCTCTGGTCAGCAAGCAGGAAGATGAAGGCAAAGAGAGAAAAAGTTATATGTCTTAGTGGTACCTCCAAGTGAGGTCATCAGGCTATGACCTGATTGACAGGCCGAACAATACCCTTATACGTTTTTGTATATCTTCAAGTTGAGATGGAATTATGTAACTTCCACAGACATCATACTTAGCAAAGTGGAGGGTTAGTGGAATAGAGGAAGACCCTTAATGAGATGGATTGAGACTGTGGCAACAACAATGCACTCAAGCAAAGAAATGACAGTGCGGATGGTACAGGACTGGATAGTGCTTTGTCCTATTGTACACAGGGTCAGTATTTAGAATACAATTGAATAACCAAATCATACTTAAAATGTAAGCATGTTCTATCTTATGATAGCTTCTACAGACACAGGCATAACCAATGTTTCTTAAATTTCACCAAAGTTTATTATATAATCAGCAGTATAGATTTGTGTTTGACATACAATACATCACTTGGAAGAAAAAGCTCTAAAACTTATAATTTCACTAACTTTTATTAGTCTGAAAGCTATGAAGTATCAGAGACATTAATAATCGAAATCTCAAGCACCTAGACAGGTAATCATTTGGCTACTTGTTATCAGTTGTTAAGTTTACCCTGGGTACAAAAGGGGGGAGGAAATCATTAAGGGTTACTTGGCCATGGTAGTGTGGTGACATGTTGCTTGTCAAGAAAGTCTTCTTCATCCTCATCTGCACTGCTCTCAGAAAGTGTCAGCCAAGATTCAATTTCAGTCTCTTTTCCAGAAGAACTGGAAATACATTAAAAGATCAATACACAATGTACAGAACTAGGTTTCAACTCTTCATTTATCTTCTGATCAATACGACATTCACTGAAGTCACTGGAGGCAGGCAGGGGCGAGGGGGCTGTATCAGACTGGGGCCATAATTTTCAAGGTGCCCAATACACCAGGCCTCCTTTAATGAAAAATGCACATCTTTCTTACTCTCCCAAGACAGTAAGCCACAGTGGAACCAGGGGGAAGATGTTTATGGTCTCTGGTTGGATCTTTCACTGGTGATTCAGAAGGCACTTCGGAAACTTGCAGAGAGCCTCAGGGTCATCATTAAGAACATCCATCATTACCTCGCTGGTTAATAGAATCCCAATGAATAGATTGCCAGATAAATCACCTCTTTTGTGTACAGTAAATTAGCACTATGTGAATAGCAGTCAAGATATACCAAAACCAAAATTAATGACAGCAATTATACAGTAATTTCATTTTGTTGTACTTTATCGTGTGCATGGAGGAGTGGGTGGGAACCCTAGCACAGAGGGTTAGGAAGACAGGTAGGATGGCAGTACAAAGAGGGGCCTATATAACTCAGGGGTTGTTTGGCTTCTTTTTTGGGCCCTAAATTATCTAGATTTCCTACTCATATACATCACTATATGAATATATAAATAAATATACAATACCCCACCCTTTTACTGGATAAGATTTGTTTTTAAAATGCAAAACAAAATACCAAAAGTTTCTAAATTCTAGTCTGTGAGCCAATGAAGATCAGATTTGGTAAAACTTTCGCTGGTCCTATAAGTTAAGAGAAAACAACACCATGCTATTGACTTTTTCATGGCATTAAAGCATTGTGTTTTATTCGGTAGTATGTTCTCATTGCATTTAATATTAAATACATTTTCTTCAATGAAATGATGGTGAGAGTGGATGTTGTAGGTTTAGTTTGACTGCTAATCACTAGGTCAGTGTCTCAAACCCTCTAGCTACTACCAGGGAAGAAGATGAGGGTGAGTCCTCCATAAGGCTCTAGAGCCTGGGGG